GCTGAGCCTGGCTAACAATACAGAAATTACAATGATGCGGCCCATGTGCACTGATGTTACTGTATCAAATAACCTAAAACTGACTTTTTGTCTGTACAAAGTAACTTGTCTTGGCTTTGTTTTAGCAGACTAGTATTTTGTAAAATACAGTCACATTTCAATTATTATACATTATGTTTGTTTATAGATTACTGCTATTTTGAAATAAGTTCTTAAACTTATTTTTCTTAAAATATAAAACAGTAACTGAAGAAGAAAAGCAAACAATTATCTCTTCTAGTCACGACCTTTTTACTCAGTTGATGCTTGAGGTAGGTTGTTAAGCCATTAAAAAATCTGCACATGGAGGATATAAAAGAAAATATTTTTTTTTTTACATTTATATATATATATATATATTCAAAAACTAAAAAATCATAAATTACTAAATTAATACTAGGGGGACATCCTGAGCTTCTGATTGGTTATTCTTGTCATATATAAAAGTAAGTGTACATAAGGGAGCATTTCCAAAAATGGAAAGAGGTGGGCAGGGTGTCACTGTGTTTTATTTATTACATGGGCAATATCTTAGCAAATTGAAAAGATAAGATGTTCTTATTTTATAGCTTGTCAGTATTAATAATGAGTTTCTAATTCGTTCAAAACTATGGACTTAGTATTTTGACTTTAAAAACATCTAATTTGAACCAATGCTGCATTCAACATACCACGTGACACACAAAAATTGATGCTTATCTGTGTTCTTTAATATTTGCTTTTAAATTAAGAAATTGAGTAATATATAGTACTAAAATATGAATTATAATCTACAGTTTGATACCAAAGTTATTGACATAAATTCATGAAATAGTAGTTCAATAAAATTTTGAGTTGGGTCAACAAACGAGATGACATGGCCTTTCACTCATGACCTGTATTTAAATAAATTCTTACTGTCAATTTTTTATATTTTGAGCCAACCTTTTTATGTATGTATTTCAATGCTTAATGTTGTATTTGACTAACTCCTTTGGTCTTTAATCTTATGTTTTCCATCATAACAGTCAATTTAAATTTCTTAAATTTATAATACTTTTCTTTAATTTTATCCATTATACTCTTTTAGTGCCAAACTGGTCTTTCACTTGCAACCATTTTTTTTTCTTATTATTTGAGCATGTGTATCTTCAATATTTAAAAGTTTACTTAAGATGCTTTTGGCATTTGGTCAATATCTACAATTTAGTTACTTAATTCACAATAGATAATTCTCGTTGCATCCTCTGAAAATTTGCTTTTTTTAAATTTGCAGCAAACCTAATTAAAGCAATGATTACATCTTTCACCTAGATGTTCTTAAACTCTACTGTGTAATCCATTCCTTTATTGGAAGTTAACAATAAATCTAAAATAGCATTGGTCCTAGTAGGTTCCCTTACCATTTGTTAATTAAATAAATTTCTCAATCTGTGCCTGAAGTTAAAATCTGTTATAATTATGATCTCATTAACAGCTGAAAACTAATCTCACTGTAAAGTTTCTCAGCTTAATTTGATAGTAGTAAGTTTCAACTACATAAAAGACTTCTCCCACTATATCCACCAACAAAAACTCAAATAGATTCAATATTCTTGCTACTGTCTTTGATATCCTCAACTTCAACAGGATGTAACTCACATTTTAGATAGAAAACCACTCTTTACCCACTTTTTAGTATTGCTTCCGAATTTAAACAACCTATAAGTATATAAAACCCTGTTTTTCAAAGAAATGTCTGTCATCAAGAGTGTCTACATCTAATCAAGTTTAGTTATTCTCATAAAACCAAAATTCTCTATTCTGACTAGTGCTCTAAAGTAATTTATTTCTTATAGGTGTATTTCTAGGATTACAATAGTAACAATTTAGCCTACCCTTAAAAACTTCAGTTCTCATAGTTGTTGTTGATCAAGTACAATATATTAGTTTAGCATGTGAATATGTTATAGGCTTTATGCAGTTTAACATGTAAATATGTGAGAATTTTTGAAGCTAAATAGTTAAAGTTCTTGGTAATGATGCACAGGAAATGCTGTAATGTTTTAAATATAGTCACAGTTCAGGGTATATTATTTAGCAGAGGCAGAGCTGTAAAAGACTGTTTGAACAAAAATCAGTACTTAAAAGGTTAACAATCTTCTTAATTCATAGACTGTCATACAATGCAAAAAACTTAACAAATTCACACATAACATGGTGTATATTTTTATACTTCATGGGCTTTGAATCATAACTATTCACAGAAGTGATGATTGTATTCATAAAAAAAAATTTACTGTGTGTTATAAAAACCTCTTATATTAGGCAAATTTAACATTTTAAGGTCACGTCGAAAAAGGAACAAGTCAAGAAAATATGGTCTTATCACTACACCTGGGTCAGAGCTTGAAATGCAGCCACTAGATAAAAGTGATGATGATGATGATGAAGATACAGTTTTATTTGAGGCACAACATCATAAAACTGTTCACAGTTAAGGTTATATTTCTGTGGAAATAACATGTAAGTCTATATGTTACCTACAGTTTTTATAGCAGATGTAAGCCTACCTATGCCGATTAATGCAACAGCTTTATACAAGTAAGCTAATAATTCATAGTTTTCCTAGTCTATTAACCTATTCACTGCAGCTGGGACATATAAATATCTAATTATTTCTATAATGTCATTTAATTTTTTATTTTTACATTTCAATTATTCTGTATGATTGATTAGCTGTTGATTTGTTTTGAAGAAAATGTTGATATGTATATATTTATATGTAAGCACTATTCAAAAAGCTTTTCTTTTGTACTTACTAAGTTCCAATTTGTTGTAATTACTTTTATTGAAATGTTTAGTTGTTACTGAATAAGTCAGTCAAGTTATTGTTACTAAAATGTTTTCGTTAGAACGTGAATCCATCTGCATTATTGGAGGTAAAGAATTTTCAAAATTTTGATAAGCCCAAACAATTTTTGGTTTCCAGGGTTTCATTACAAAGTAGTGTACCTGTCCTCCTGAAATAAACATACAACAATTTATGTGCTGTATGTGTATTTTACAGTTTTCTGCTGCTCATTTAACAGACATTTTGTTTTATTTGTATACTTTATAGGATGTCTTTCAAATAAGCTAGATCTGAGATTTATATTGTTAGTCTTGCACACAGAAATACTTTTCAGAAATGTTATTTACTTTTCTGCACCACTAAGAGCTATTATTTTGTGCCCAACTACTGTAGAATTTCCAGCACATGCCATAAACCTTGAACAAACTCCAAATGCTACACATATCTATGTGTATTGTTCCAGCTTATGACATAGTTGTCATAAAGCTGTGGCTCTTCCCTCAGTAGGAGGGCAACACAACCTCCATGCACAGTGATTCCAGTGAGCAATAGCACATGATCATAGGCTTTTTCTCTTCTTAGCATTGTGCTCAAATTATTTTTCCTTTGCTTTTTGATTTGCTACTCACTGTGAATACTTTTCTTCATTTGGTATTACATTACTATTTTTCTCATTGCACTTTTGATCCAACCATCTGATTTACAATTTCAATTTCACTAGCTACCACATTATTTCTTTGTGCCACTTCAGTCAACATATGCATAGTGAAAAAATTACCCTAGGTCCAGATATTCTTCTTCAGGTGTTTTCTCCAATTATATCAATGATTATTTTATCCATTTGTGCAGCTGATGTTTAGTAGTTATCCCTTTAGCTCACTTAATTAGGCTAACACCTGGTGTACGACAGATCTTGGATTTCATTCTATGGCAAGGTACGATAGTTATTGTGGTAACTGAATATTATAAAACTGTGATGAACAATCGTATTACATGTTCACTGCTGATGTTTTGTCCTACAGGATGCTATCATATGCTTTCCTTCTACCTACTTCTTCACTAATTCAGGTTCCTTGTTCCATTTCATTTACTTCCCTGGAGACTGTCTCACTTGTGGAAAATTTTGCCTAGCTCTTCCTTCCTTTTATTCTGGCTATTCTTTACCTTTTTTTGTTTACTATGCTCATAACTCAGATATGGGACTTTCTATCTCTATCTCCTGCATATCATAATAACTCTTGGGTTGTTTTACTCTGTGGGCCTCTTTTTTTTCCCACCTCCATGATGATTAACATCTCTCTTGTCCTCCTCATCTTCATGACTCCTTTGTTATGGCCTAAGGTCATGATCATTCTATATTTCTTGGATCCTTTCAGTCTGCTTGGGGTATTTCTCTTTCTCCTTCTATGTCCCCTTCTTTTCTTCATTCAGCTTGCCTTTGTCTTATATTTACTTCTTTGCTGTATCTCTACCTTTCACTCCCTAAATGTGGTTCTTCGGCACAACCCTGATTGTTATGATAGGGAAACCCATTCTTATTTGTTTACCCCTTTGGCTGCTGTTTCTTTCTTTGCTGTCTCTGTTTTGACTTGATTTCTCTGTTCTTGGTATCTCCATTGTCTGCATACTCTTCTTTCCTCCTCTCTTCTTGAACTAAGTCTCGTCCCTTTTCTTATTGCATTGATCTTTGGGAAGTGTTTCTATTCCTTGTTATCTTGGGCTGGGGCTGCTCATCTACAATCTTCCTTCAATTCCCTGGTCTCCAGTCTCATTAGGCTACAGATACCTCAGTTGGATACCAGACCTCAGGAGTCCCATGGGGCTACCCTTTGACATGTTCTTTGTTCTATCTATTCTGTTAACAATTCCACCCTCAACAAGACTCGGTTTTAACTCTTCCTTGTAGCTAATTCTTGTCCCACCTCCCCCCTCACACACACTTTTGCACACCTCTAGTCCTTACTGGCAATCCTTAGGTTGTGTTAGTTCTTTCTTAAGGTCTGTTCCTGCTTTTCATACTCCACCTTCTGATCCTCTTACTGATCACCTTCATCTTCAACATCTTTCTAGGAGGTTTCTTGCTTCACATTTGGGGCAGGCTCAACCATCACCCCTGTGTCATCACATCATGGAGATCTTGGTATTCAAGGCTCTTCATTCTCCATCTTTCCCTGCAGGCTCACTCTCACTTTTAGTGACTCTGAGATCTTGTCTCCAGATATTTTTATGTTTTTGGGCATGCCATAATATTTGGTCATATTTGTGGGTGATCTGATTATCCATTCCAACACTTCTGTTTTTGTTTCTTACATCAAATGCCAGAGATGCAATCACCATGGAACCTATGTTTTACCTGTTGTTTTTTTACTTACCACATCAAACAGAAGAGTGCTGAAAATGTTAAACCATCTGCCTCGCTCAGTGTCCACCATTGAGATGAGGTTTTCTGCAAGACTGATTCAGCAGTATACCTATTGACTGAACTGGCTGTTTCCAAACTTTTACAAACAAAATTAAAATAGCAAATGGCAGCAGGTGGGGTCCTGCCCTTACACCTAGCTAGTGCCTGCTGTTTCCAGCCATAGTAACCTGTTTCACTGTTTTTCAGTTGGGACACAATTTCAGATGATTGTGCTTGGTGACAATGGTCTATGTATGTTCTCTGAGTTCTTCCCTATGCTTATTTCTCTCTCTCTCTCTCCTTCTAGTAGAATACCTTTACTCCCCAGTCCCAAGCCACTTGAAAAGTTGAGATGGAGAGATTCCTCTGTTATTGGTGTCTTCTACCTTGATAAGAGACCAGTTGGGCCCACCCGTCATCTGAGATCTAGGGCTGGTTGTTACCTGGAGGTAACAAGAAACCCAGTGACACTATCTCACAATAGATAGGACCAACCAGAAGGGACTTGAATTTATCTCTGGATGCAGGTGATGCCTTCATCTTCCTCCATCTGTGATTATAGTATCTTTCTCTTGTAAGTATTTGACCAAAACAAAATGGCCTAAAGTCATTCCACACTAACCATTCTAACTTTCCACTCACCTTGGTGACAAATAATCACCAGTGCTGGATATTCCTAATGTCCTTTGCTTTGCTCTCTCAGTACAAAAAAAAAGGAGAAAAAACTTGATTTAGAATATTCCCTGCTTGAGAAGTATGCAGTCTCCCATTGTATGCTTCATTAGGTGACCCCCAGTCTCATGGAAGTCATACCCCATGGGCTTTCTCTTTTTATTGCTATTTCAGAAATGAGCTCATCTTTGTAATTGATCAACACTAGCTCCACTACCATCTTTACTGTGAAATTCTGTATGTTAGTGGTGTAGAGAGGAATGTAGCATTTCTGTAATTAGCATTTTCCTTGCGTGGAAATGTATTTCTTATAGATACTTACCTCTGAACCACCTCCCACTCTTCCTCCCCACTTCTGGTGCATTTCTTTTGCCTTGATAAGAATGAGCTTGTGATCATGTGCTAGTGTTTATGAGGATTACTGTATATGGAGGTTGTGTCACCCACCCGCTGTTGGAAGACCATACTATTATGACAATTACATAATAGGCTGGTGCAGTACCCAGACATTTATAGGGGTGGTAGTTTGCTCAAGGCTTGTGGCATGTGCAAGAAATTTCTTAGCAGTTACCTACCAGGTAATGGCTGTTAGTGCTGCAAAGAAGTATCTATCTGAAGGACATTTTCATGTAAAGAAAATGTTAACATCCTGCAATTGTTTTACTTCTCTTTTAGTGCAAAAATGTGGAAAAGAATCATCTTCTTTTGGAAGCTCTAAAGAAGCATCCACTTGGGTTATGCTCAAGCAATTTTGCCTTAGAAATTGTCATTTTACATTTCTGTATGCCTTTGACTAAAATGCCATGTTTCGTAGCAGTAGCTTGTTTGGTTATATATTTCACTTTATTTTTCCACATTACTACCATATACTGTGTGTTTATTATAAAAGTAAAATGTTAAGACACTTGAGTATTGCTTTGATATTTTTCATTATTCACTTTTTACAGATCCTATTCATTGTAAACAAAAAAGGCTTAGAATCAAAGAGTAACAGCAAATAATCTGAAAACATGTACTTTTCATGAAAGACAGTTTAGGTGTGACAAGTTATGAGGAACGTAATAGCAGTAAAACTTCTTTTACTAGTCAAAAAATGGGTTATTGTGTTATTTCACTACAACATTCCAGGGTCTTGGCTTTTGAAGTGTTTCTTTTGTGTTATATTACTGTTGAATTATTTCATAGTATATGTAACTCTTTCTTAAATGTGCACCAATGTCTTGTAAACAATAGTTGCAATTGTAAAAGTATACACAGTTCCAAAGAAATAAACAGAATAAACTGACTTTAATCAGACAACAAAGTTCACACTTAACAAAAGATGAGTTGTATTTTGGGCAACAGAAGAGTTTGTTTCAGTTTGTGAAAAGAACTAGCTTTCAACAGATGACAAAAGTTAATTTTAAGCAACTGAAAATTTAAACTTACCAGATTTTAGTTTGGTTTGGTCAATAGTAAGATGAGTTTATATTAAAGTTATATATATATATGTGTGTGTGTGTGTCGAAATAAGAGTTTAACAAGATTTTAGAAATGTAGTCAAAAGTTTCCTTTTTTATATGTGTGAGAATATGTTGTACATCGCTCATTATAAATAAAACTTAATGTAATTTTTACTTGAGCAGAACCAAATTTAATATTATATTATGAGTTTTGAATAATTTTTTTTGTTATCCACAGATATTTGCTATTTCAAACAAAGTAATTTTGTTGAATACCATACCTTCATCAAAGTTTCATGACTTAAGGCATTTATCAAAAATAATTTTGTATGGAACAGGTTTCAGAAACTGTTTTTTGGATACATTTGATGAAGAAAATTTGTGACCATTGATTAATGTAAAAAACTGCTTTCTTACCCCAGGCATGATTATCTGCTTCCTTTTATGATAATTAAGTGATACAGTATTCAGCCTACTCCTTAACAGGCTGACATCTCAGTCAAGTGTATATAAGCATGACAAATTCCAATGAAAAGTCATATGTACAGGAGGTTAAATCTGTTTAAAAATTTATGTTGACTTTCAGGTTTATGCTTTTCATTTTCATGTATACTTTACATCTGGCTATATCTTAAGAGAAGTTGTTATTTGCAGTAATGTTTTTCCATGTTTGTGCAAAATAAACTGCTTTGTGGATTATTAATTGACAGAAATTGAACATAAAGTAGTGTTTAATTATGTGCTAAAAATGATAAAGTAATTTGTGACCCAAGTTACTATTCTTCAGTTTATTGAATTTTATTGTACTGTTGTCATCATTACAGATTTTTTGTTTAAAAGTTAATAACTATGTGTGAAGCGCAACAGTTATTTCATATGTCAAAAGATGTGCTTGTCATGTATGTGGTTTTCTGTGATCTGATTGTTTTGTTCGGTAAGTTTTTAAAAAATCATAGTCTTCCAGTAAGATCATTTTCAAGAATTTATTGATATGATAGCATAGAAGGCTGTCTAGAACATAATTTTTAATTGTCAACCTGAATAACTTATCTTTAACAGATTCGATGACGAGGAACCCACTTTGAGACTAATAATGGTTGGAGACGGCTTAAATGGGTAATGAAGAAAAACTTTAATATAAGTTTAACATAACAGTAAATGTACAACGTTTCGACAAGGTTTTGTCATCATCAGGTGATGTACATTTACTGTTATATTAAACTTATATTAAAGTTTTCTTCATTACCCATTTAAGCCATCTCCAACCATTATTTATCTTTAACAGATGTTGCTTGCATAATAGTTCAAAAGTTTATAATTTGTAGGTGTGGAATAATTTGACCCATTGAAATTCATGAATAGATTTGTCTCTTTTTTTTCAATCTGTAATTCGGCTGTTTAGTTCTAAAAGCCACTTACCTAGTTTACATTTAAAATTTAGCCTTATGTGAAATTACATTCTTAGAACTGACGAGATGTTAACTCAAAGAAATTATGTCTCCAGTTCCATTGACACTCAGTCCTATTTTATTACAAGTGGCTTCTTTCAGTGTTGAATGACTCAGTTCATTTCATTTATAGGAAGTTTCCAACAGTGCTCTAATACCAAAGATAAATTTGAAATTTGTTGCAGGAATTTAGGTTTAACACCTTTCAAGCCTCAAAGAAAATTTGGGGCCTGAAAGATAACCCAGGATGGTCAGAAACTTTTGTTCCTTTTGAAAAAGTTAAAGCCAAATGAATTTGGATGAAGCCTCCGGGCTTAGTTTTATTGAATCACATTGAGTGAGATGTTGTGAAACATGAAGAGACATAGGAGATGCCAACCCAAGCCTGCCATGAAGAGACCATCATTTGGGAGTCAAACTTGAAGCACGTGTATCTGTTGTTACACGTGACGATGATATCAGGCGGAGTGACTCATTAGAACAGTGGCCTGGTCACATGTGGCATCAAGCAGAGGAGACCAGACATTTTCCTGACGTATTGTGCTTCATTTACTAAAAAACAACTCATTTCAAATATCACCAATTGTTTTGAGATACATAATAGGAATCCATTACTGATTTTAAACATTATTTTGAAATCTACTGGATGTTTCTACCACAAAGTTTCAGATTTGCAGATCAAAATGATTAGGTTGAATAGAAATGTTTCAAACTTTTATAACATAAAACAGTTACAAGCATAGTTTCCAGATTACAATATTGACAAACAAGTTTTTACTACAGTAGATCTTATTGAACAGACTTCTTGATACAGTACTAGAACACAGTTTAAAAAAAGTATAATACAAAAGAGCTAGCAACTGGTATTTCTTAAGTAAATACTAACTTCAATGTATCATATAAAATGTACTTTTGGAAAAATATAGTATTTTAAAATTACTATGAATTGTTTTATTCATATGGCCAGTAACAATAGTTATACTTAATTGTTCTGACAAGGTATAAATGCTTGAGTTTAAAATATTTTAATAATTTACTTGATAATCATAAGTTATTATATTACTCTGTTACTCTTATGTTAATAAGTTAATCATTGTATAATTTTATTTTTAATTAAAACATAATTAAAAAACAAATGGGCAATAATTATAATTTTGATAGTGTTGGTGTTTGAAACACATCTTATGCTGATATAGTCTCATATTTTGCTACTTAGTTACTCCAAAAACTGTGGCTTTACTTTTCTTCTTTGTAGTAATAAGTAGTAGCTAAAACTATGTATTTTGATGGCCATTTCAGTTCACCACAGTTTATATGTTTAATAAGAGAAAACATGTTTTTGTCATCTGTTGGTATTTTAGGTTGGAGCTCATGTGTAATAAGCATGTCTTCCTCACTATCCCTGAGGTTGAAAATCAGTAATAGCAGATGATGAAACATCAATATTGCTGCCTAATTGTTTCAATTTTCCTTAGGTAAAATAATTACTTGATTATTTCTCAATACATTGTATGTCACAATAGAAAGTAATTCCAAATTAATAACTCGCAAATGTTGTCTCTTATAGGATGGTTGTTTGATGAGATGTAATTAGTAACTCACAAATGCTCTCTTATTTGATGGCTGTTGGATGAGATGTACTTACTCAATAATAAATTGGAGATGTTTTACAGTTAAACTGTTGCTTTATCTTCAAGTTTTAAACCACTCACTGCCTCATGTCAGTGGCAATTTTGATGTTGTTTTTGTTTCTAGATTGAGTCTCTAGTGATCCCTTTGATTGGAGGTAACTAATACAACTTCCAATTTGAAGCCAGGAATTTAAGAAACCCATCTTTAAAGCCCATGGCTACTACTTCTTTACATGAAACTTTGCAAAAACTAAGGTTAACCTCCAATATTAAAGTACATTTTATAGTTATAGAATAGTTAATTGTTGGATTCCAGAACCAGATGAAATGTCTGTAAAAACTAAACATTCATCATTGACACAGTAATGCAACCCTTCTTTTCTAAGAGCTTCTATCTTACCACAAACTTTTAGCAATAAGTCAGGGAAAGAAGCAGTATGATTGCAGTTAATGTTCAATTGAATAATATTATGCTTTTTTTTTCTCCTCATTTCAGCTTTTGATTTCCTTTTCTCTGCAGTGTCCTGTTTTGTTCTGTCTTTTTTTAACTCTTTGGGAGAAATATTTTGGTTTGTTTTCAAACTTTTAGGGAAATGTATCTGTCTTTAATATTGCAGTTTTGTGTTAAAAAAGTACCATCAACTTCACTGACATTTTCCTATAAAGTAAATTGGTCCTCAAAATGTATACTTCTGCATCCTTTGAGGAAGAAAAATCATGGTGTATTTTTCTTACCCATTGTTTTCTCATTTCATCATCCCAAGAGATCTGAACACAGTTATGTAATTACTGGGCCTTTCCTTCACTGTATAGTTCTATTTACAACCAGGAACTCAACATTTATAAGGCATTTTAATAATATTGTATACTATTTTCATTTATGTCCCTGCAGAAAGATGTACTGTTTTTCTATTGTTTTTGTTCTTCCAAACACTTTTCAATCGACTACCATTCCTCCATTTGTTGATAGATAGACTTGAAACTTGGTAGGGTTATACCCTTGTCCAGTATGCCTAGATACATTTTTCGTTTTTTTAAGTTAGACCTTTTTAAGGGGTCAAATGTCAAACAACCCAAAACTTTATATTTTGAGCTCTTGTGTGGTCATATTTACAGCAATGCAAGACATTTGTACATGGACTTCATTATTGTGACTGGGACCTGGGTCTGAATGTGCAGATTAGAAGGTTTGTGCATAAACTTCATCATTGTGGGGATCAAGTGGATATGCTTGACTCAGACCTGGTGATGACTGGTCACTTGTCAGAAAAGACATGTCTGTCATATGGCCAAGTACCAGAAGCTTTGAAGCCAGCCGTAATGTTGGCTGGAGTAGCAGCTTTTATCCATGCAGCACCAATCAGCTGTGCCATTTGATCTATTGTAATGCATTTGCCAGGGTTTCTTTTCATCCAGTTATTTGCCTCAGCATTAAAATAGGTCTTCATTGGACCAAAAACAGATCAATCTAGTGGCTGGATTCTAGGACTTGTATGTGGAGGCACTGTGATTCCATGGTCCTTTGCATACTCCAGAGCACCAACAGACATATGGCTTTCATGATTATTGTTGACTATAATGACAGGATTATTCTTGACAGAATGACTGTATGTAACAAAATGTTCCATGACTTTTATGAACAGGTCACTGTTCATCCAACCAGACTCGGACACCAATCCTAAGGAATCTTCAGGAGCTCCAATGAGAAAAATGTCTTCGTAGTTTTTCCTAGGGGCATTCCTATACCAGTTGCAAAAAGGATGGCACAAACTGTCACAAGTTCACCTCGTTCACATGATATCACTTGTTTCTGGCCTTTACTGCTTACAAGCTTTGGAACCTTCTGCACTGTAGTAAATCCAGATTACAGGTACACCACCAATTTTCCAGCGCCCTTGGTTCCAGAGCCATGCCAGATTATCCATTTTGCTGGACCAACAGAGCTCATGTAATAATAATTCAACAGTACACCTCTGACCCACTAATTATACCCCTCTCGTGTCTAAAGCACCATGGACTGCTAGAAACTTAAATAAAACAAATATTAAATGTGAATTAAATGATTAATGAAATACATTATTACTGGTATAAATGATACAGGTTTATTAGTACAATATAAATGAAAAAGGTTTATTAATTACTGTAATTACAAAGAACATTTTAGAGCTAATCACAAAGGTCTGGAAGTTGAGGTCTGTCAGGATTACTGTACTTGAAGTTGAAGCCACAGAATTATCGGAGGTAAACCTACTGCTCTGACCACATTCTTCTTGGCTATGTTTTTAAACATTTCATCCAAGCAAAGTTGTTTTATGTGCTTTGATCTTTCCCTGTGTAATTTTTCATACAACAAATGAAGAGTCATTAGCTCTTGTTCTGTCACAAAAGTACATTGTTTTAATCCACTTATTAATTCACCCGTCAACTCAATTAACTTGTCTCCATAGTAAGTCTTTCAGCTACATCTGTTTTATCTTCATAACTTTCATTGTTTTAATCAGGATTCACAACAATATCCATAATTTCAGAGTCGGTATAATGATGAAGAACAGGTGTTTCTTTGTTTACATTCATCCACTCGGCCAGACTTTCTTCTTTAAGCGTACTTGCTATACCCTTGGCAGCAGGACTCGTAAAACTTTTTGCCATCTGTGGCTGCCCAGTGAACTAGTCTGGCAGTCGCGGAAATTTCAATTGCGCTTTCGTAATTTTGTCCAGGATTAAAGGTGGTGCCAGACCATCAGTTGCCCGAAAACCAGTGGTGTGCTGTAGATATTCTTCTTTCAACAATGTTCTTATCATTTATAACTGTTTCCAAAAGATTGAAGAACTATTTTACTGTATGTCTACTGAAAGCAG